CGAGTTCTTCGTCATCATTAGCGTTGTCAGTTCTCTCCATCGCTACTCTTAATTCTGTGGAACTGGAAAATTGTGTGCTGTGGGTGGAGATTTGAGTTTTTGACTCCTTCGGTTTTTCAATTTGATTTTGATCTTCTTGTGATGTTGTTTGTCCAATGAAGCCGGCTGGGGTGAAATTTTGGAAGAATGGGTGGCCGATGGTTGCTGCTGCTGACGGTGGCCCATGGTTTTTCTGGTTTGACATTAGGTTATGGATTGAAGATGAGTTTTTTTTCCCCTTTTTTAATTTAATTTTTAACATATTTTAGAGTTAATATACAAAGTTACCATTTTACTCCTTCCAATTTGGTCAAAATTAGTCAAAGTTCACTTTTTTGGTCAGCTAACGATCAAATGGATGGTTTCCATTCAATTGGACTCCATATGCATATTTTTGAAAAATTAGGGACAATTGTTGCAAGTTTCCCTAATATTGTTACAACAAAATCAAAGGCATGATAAAGAATAAAATAAGTTGTATTTATTCTTATAAAAATAGATTATTCGACCTGATAACGATAAGTTGGCTACGCAACATTACTAGTTAGACTATTCGACTTTTAATCAGTATTTTAAAAATGGTAAAGCGTGGTTAGATTTGGAGGCCAAGTTTCAAATTTTACGAGCCTAGGAGTGTATAGGTGTAAAAAAATATTTTATATTGTTTTAAATTTTAATGATTCTAAAACTTATTTAATAATTAAAATAATACATATCAGACATCTAAAATTAAAAAATATATATTATATTTACTTAATAATTTTTATAATTAGCCAATTATACAATTTTTCAAAATGCAAAAGCTAGACTATTTTAAATAGTTTTAGTGCATTTTTGGCTTCCATATTCCACATTATAATGAGATAATAATATTTTTGTAGAAAATATGTTGTTAAAAAAGAATGAAATTTTTTCGGGTTTATGCGTAATATTATTTTATTAGAGAATGTGTGACTGATAAGAAAATAGAGAAAAATGAAAAATGGGGAATAATGGTGCCAAACGAGGGCCTAACTTTGAAATAGAAACAAACTACTTACTTTCAAAGTTTCTAACAAAATGATAAGTCTCAAAATCATAATTACATAATGTTGATAACACACTAGTTTAAATCTCATCTAACTATTTATCGAAAAAGTCACTTTTGACTTTTGTACTAATAAATTTATTTAAAAACTTTAAACTAAAGTCAAATAAGAGGCTTATTAAAAAAAATTAAAAATAATATTAATAAAGTGCGCCTAGAAAAAGAAAATAAAAAATAATGGAAAGCGCTTAGGCTAGTCGTGCATTAAGTGGCGGTCAATTTGGTAGTTGACCGCTTGATTTTGCGATTATTGTGAAGTTTTGGTGATCGTTTGATTTCTCACGAGCGAACGGGATTGTGAACAAGTAATAAAGTAATGAATAGAGTCTCAAATCCATGAAGACTATGTGTATAATCGAGTTAAAATTAATTGCAACTTTAATCGAATAGAAAACAAATTTTGTAATTTTTCTTTATTAATCCCTAAATTATCAATTAAACTAGTGAAAGCAAGTAAATGTGTTTTTCAAATATGTGAGATGTATTGTTAAAATGTCGAATCCTCCCTGTTGTTCCACTTTTAGTATAACAATTAAGTGACAATTTAAAATCATTTATATTAGTCAATGTTCCTAATTTCGATAGCAATCAAATATATTCCCTTCATATGACATTTTTATCTTTCGATAAAATATGCAAACATGATAAATGTATTAACAAGTACTAGAACATCTATTGAAATTATATAAAGTATAGAGGTATATCTCTACCCTCTAATGAACCTTACAATATTTATTATATTGTGCTCAAATCATATTGTTTCTCTCAATAACAATAAAATCTACTAACTATTCAATTAGTGATCAAGCAATTGAAAAAAAGGATAAAAATGATAATAAACATCTACAATTCAGATCAAATTAAAGTCAAAATAATTAATTAAAACTAAAAATATCATAACAAGGGTTCATCTCGTCCTAACAATGTATAAAAGTAGTCTAACATATCGAAATTATAAGAAATCATATTTTAAGTGAAAATGGCATAACCCAAATTTTTGATAAATTGATGAATCTTGAAATCTTGAATCTTTTCAACGGTTTCTTAATGAATCTCAACAATGATTTTTTGATGAATCTCCACATGCTTCTTCTCTTCTTTGCCCAAAAATTAAGTTTGAATCTTCACTTGATTGAATTCTTGTAAGTTCCCTTCAATTATCTCACAAAAATTATGAATTCTCATCATTTCATAATAATAATTTATGAGTATTAAAATATAATATGTATTCTCCTTTGTAGGAGTAGAAAATTAATTGAGAATCACGTCTACATTAGTTTTCAAAAGAGTTCTAATCGAATAAGGAAAGTTGTATTCGCGCGCGGATTTTTTTGTCTATCCACAGTCGTTAGTATTTTGATCATAACTTTTTCTCTCAATATTCGATTAAGTTGATTCAAAGTGAATTGAAAATTGGGAAAAAATCATATTTAAGGAGTGAGAAGATGAAGATGAATTTTGAAATTTTGAATCTTTTCAATAGTTTCTTGATGAATCTCCACTTGTGCAGTCTCTTCTTTGCCCAAAAATTAAGTTTGAATCTTCACTTAATTGAATTCTTGTAAGTTCCCTTCAATTATCTCACAAAAATTATGAATTCTCATCATTTCATAATAATAATTTATGAGTATTAAAATATAATATGTATTCTCCTTTGAAGGACTAGAAAATTAATTGAGAATCTCGTCCAAATTAGTTTTTAAAAGAGTTCTAATCGAATAAGGAAAGTTGTATTCGCGAACGGATTTTTTTTGTCTATCCACAGTCGTTAGTATTTTGATCATAACTTTCTCTCTCAATATCCGATTAAGTTGATTCAAAGTGAATTGAAAATTTAACTCAATGGGCTACAACTTTAAGGGAATAGATTTTTCCAATTCAGATGTTTACTATGCCAAATTTGGGTTTCAATTTTCGACTAAAAATCTAGAATATAATTTGTGCGATTGGAAATTGATTTTGATAATATTTTGATCATTTTCATTCCTTTTTGAGTTCTAATTACATCCAATTTTCTCTTAGCAATCTTCAAAGTATCGTCTTGTGGTTCAAATCAACTATTAAATATTTACAATTTGGTCCTCAAAATTTGGACTTTACAATTTTTCACCAATTTCTTTCTTTCGATTCTTCGTTCATTCATTGAGGTTTACCTATATATCATAAAATACAATAATTTAGGATATATTTTGTCCAAATAATTACCGAATATCGATATTTTAGGTCCCAAATAAGCATATAAGATACAAGCTCTCATCGGTTTGAAATCAGCCAATTTTATTTCATGAAAAAAAGTTCAATCGACAGTTCACTTAAACGGATGTTTTGATAGTTCTGTGTAAAAGGCATATTATATACAAGCTCTCATCGGTTTGAAATCAGCCAATTTTATTCCAATTGGGAATCTCTTGCATCCTCTTCGTAAAAGGATGCCTGATTCCTTATTTGGGTAGCAAAAACTTGCTTTAACAGGTTGGAATTATTTTATTTTCAAGTACTAATCACCTGCTGCTAGCATTAGAGTTTGAGTTCATTTGGAACGCTTCTTAATGTTCTATGTTTAATCATTCATAAGAAATATAATTTGTGCGATTGGAAATTGATTTTGATAATATTTTGATCATTTTCATTCCTTTTTGAGTTCTAATTACATCCAATTTTCTCTTAGCAATCTTCAAAGTATCGTCTTGTAGTTCAAATCAACTATTGAATATTTACAATTTGATCCTCAAAATTTGGACTTTACAATTTTTCGCCAATTTCTTTCTTTCGATTCTTCGTTCATTCATGGAGGTTTACCTATATATCATAAAATACAATAATTTAGGATATATTTTGTCCAAATAATTACCGAATATCGATATTTTAGGTCCCAAATAAGCGTATAAGATACAAGCTCTCATCGGTTTGAAATCAGCCAATTTTATTTCATGAAAAAAAGTTCAATCGACAGTTCACTTAAACAGATGTTTTGATGGTTCTGTGTAAAAGGCATATTATATACAAGCTCTCATTGGTTTGAAATCAGCCAATTTTATTCTAATTGGGAATCTCTTGCATCCTCTCCGTAAAAGGATGCCTGATTCCTTATTTGGGTAGCAAAAACTTGCTTTAACAGGTTGGAATTATTTTATTTTCAAGTACTAATCACCTGCTGCTAGCATTAGTGTTTGAGTTCATTTGGAACGCTTCTTATTGTTCTATGTTTAATCATTCATAAGAGAACAGGTTTGGAAAGATTTTCAGAAAAAGTTCATCGCTACAATTTGACCGATTGTAACAGTGGAGAAGTTGAGCAAGTATGTGAGCATGGATGTTGTGGTGATGATGTTATTCCTTGTTTGACAAAATTTCCAATTTATGTTATATTTTGCATTCGATTTTTTTAATCTCAACCTTAATTATAAATCACTCTGTCATACATACCTGTTTTCCCCTTTCCTTTTGCAGTCCCGTGGCCAGAATTAATGGCTTATGGATTAAGTCTTTGATTATTTTCTGTTGATTAATGGTTTATTAGGCACCAAGTTTTAAATTGCTTTTTGTATTGTAGAATAGTCATTCTGTCATCCATTAAATATAGTCATATATTTCCCAAAAAAATACTATTAGTTAATCCTTTTTCACTATTTTGTGCAAGAGGTCTAATAAATATACCAAACACTAGCTTTTGTAAGCTTAAATGTACACATATTTCCTTCTCCAGTACAGAGTTCAAATCATGCAATGATTATTGAAGAATATGGAGTTTGCATGTATATGAAAAATACAAAAATATATATACAAAAAAAAAAAAAAAAACATTTACAAAGTGAAACAAACTTCCCATTGCAGGATTTAATGGACAATTCTGATTATTGCTTCCAGGATGTTACTATTTCCAGAAAGTTTCATGTGCATCTGTGAAAATCGCATTGTGATGTTCAATTAAGCACTGAATAACTTCAATAGCTCCAAAATCAAGTGGCAATCCATCGTCCAAGGGAATGGAGGACGATGCATATACTATGCTCTTCTCGTCTTCTGCAAGCACAGAAACAATAATTAGTTTACAAGGCTTCCATCATTCCGGTCTTCGGTTCTAGTTCTCACACTTCATATTCGGTAACATAGTATTTCTTCCTGAGATAAACTTTTATAAACCACTCTGAACTGACAGACAAGCTTTCACTTATCTCAAACTAGAATTATGGCAACGGAGAGCAGATTGAGATTTCTTCAACTTATAGGACTCGTAAATTCCATCATCACTTAATTGGGGATATAGAATTCGACCGACAAAAATAGTTAAGATCCCAAGACATCTTTTCCAGTAGTTTATTTTTCTTCCTATAGTTTTTGGAACTGCTGTTTGTTCCATAGACACGAACACACAAAATATCTTCATACTTTTCAATGGAAGTATATGATAGCTACATCAATTTAGAGCAACACATGTACCGTATATAAAAAAGTGCATGTTAGCAGGCATTCCTATAGGAGAAGGTTCTTTGTTTCATTCAGTAAACTTTTGCGACTCCTCTAAATTTCAAGTAACTAGTTTTCCACTTTTATTTTAAACTTTCGTGGCTTTTAATGAACCTACTAATGAGTGTGTGTTACACGGAAGGTGAGGTTTTATATATTGGAGTCTTCAAGAATGATATTGCCACCTTTTATTTATTTATGTACTCTTTCAAGAAATATGAAGAGTTCATAATTGAACCTCTGCGCAGTTCCTTATCCACACCCCACAAAAGACGAGCTACTAAAAAACAGTACATAGCATATACGGAAATGAAATGCTTAAAACTGCAAATCACCTTTAAGCATGTCCATGTCAGTGTAGCTCGAGACAGAATCAACATTTTTATTAGAATCAACCTTTAGTGGATTGTCCCATAACTGTTTATAATGCTCTGGTTTCTGTCCTTTCTGCCACATAATAAGAGAGGCCATTTCCATGGCAAGGCTTCGAGCATCCATCAGCAAAAAGCTTGCAATAATGGATTAGCATTTTTATCCAGTTAAAATTAACTAACAAATACTTCATACGATCGAAACTTCATAAAAAATAAAATACATGATTTACAAGACAGGTATAGCTACTCTGTTGCCTATAACTATAAAATACATATCCAATGGAAGAACAAAAGTTGGAGAAGCTAATTTCGAAATAAATGTCCTCACAATTAAAAAGGGAAAAAAATAGAAGTCCTCACAGTTGAAAAGGAAAAAACAGAAGGAAAAAGGTTGCATCTAATCATAATGTATGGTTATCCCCTCTATTGTGGATCGACATAATATAGGGTATATTTGCAGTCATACACATTGGATTGCCCTATTATTCTCTATCCAAATTAGCGATTAGGGCCTAACCCATAAAAAACTAACACATCCACACACAGCCAGATGATGAAATGACTGAGTCTTGAGTGAGTGAGATAGAGATGCAATCTACCTTGTTAAGAAAAGACTTCTGGCTAACATGAAGTAGCAGTGCAGTAACTAGTTCCAGCGTCATATAGTTAACTGTTGGAAGCCTTTTCAATGTATTTCTCATTACATGCATCCTGGAACGAGCATTTCTAATTTCACTATAGAGTTCAAAGGTCGTTAATGGCTCAGGAAGGCTTGCAATATAACACTTAATAAGAGCTGCAATGTTAACAGGGTCTACAGCTTCTGGTAGGGATGCATTTGAGTCTGAACATGGAAACAAAGACAAGACAGTAAACCAGAGCAATGCAAATATTATGAAGTCCACTCAAGCTTGAATACTTGTAACGGTACCTTGATCATACAGGGAAACTAACTGCCTAATAACCTTTTTGTTTCCTTGTGCCTTGAATAACTCAGGTGAGTTCAGTCCTGAAACAACAAAATGGTAGAAGTTCAACCTCAGCATCTGAATGGATATATATATTCTTCAATGTTATGCCCTTGGATTCACCCATTCCACAATTTTGTTTTTATCAACTTGCCTGATAATACAAGAAAATCTGCACATTTGACCAGTATATAAGGAATAGGCCTGGTGGACTGTTGGCGCTGTACAGTAAGCTCAATTGGAACTTCGAAGACTGCACATGAAAAATAAAAATTGTTCGACTGTTATCAAATTTATCCGGAATGCCTACAGTCTACAGACCCCCACAAGGCTGATAATTAATGGACAACAAAATCTAATTTATTCTTTAAACAATAAGCACGAGTGGCTCACAGAACATATATGTGCTAAAGGGGGTATATGAAAATTCATCAAACTATTAATTTCTTATTTGTTATTCTTGCATGCAACTAGTGACGTAAAATACCATCAAAACAAAAACTGACTCCCGTTGTATTATTTGGACTGAATCTTAATCAATGCAATGTCCGAAGTATAGAAACCCTACCATTGGTGTTTGCAACCCCCTGAGAAAAAAATAGAAAAACAAAAATCAGCAACTGTCTACTTTTTGCAACATTATTGAACAAGATTACACAAAAATCACTTACTTTTTGCCATCTCTCAATATCAGTCATGAGGGTCTTGCTTTTTTGTGCAGTCTTCTTGGAGACCTGTACAATAATTACTGTCAAAAACAATATATATGCCAAAGAACGATAACAATGGCATGTATTTTCTTCTGAAGTGGACATCTATACATGATTAGATATTCTTCGATACAAATGAATGAAGCTATAGAATTCTTTCTCCAAGTTTCAAATAAACAAAAGAAATTGACATGTTCCCAAGGAAATCACATAAAGATGACTGTGGATTTAATTTAGCAAAGGCATCTGATACAAAAAGTTTCTTCCATTCTTCATGCACTTTGAGAATGTACACATGCTGCATTTATGACATGTAATACAATTATGTGTCACCCACACCAGTGAAAGGTCATAAAGATTTTGAGGTCATAAAGATCTTGTTCAAAAGGAACTAAACTTCAGGATATGGACTAATCCAATTTTCCCCCCATATCCCTGGAGTAAGCAATTTCTGCTATAGCTCAAGAGTATGCTTATATATTTTTGAGCGACGTGAATTTAAACGATTTGGATGCTTCATTTTTGGATAGTTAAAGTAGTCAAAAAACAATGTTTAACTTTGATTTTGTAGAAATGCATATTTTCACTTCAGTATTCTAATAAGCTATGAAACAACTAGAGTTAATGTAACTCTTACAAAATTTAAATGATTGAACAGTTTTTGTCTATTAACAAACAAAACTAGATACCCTACCTCAAGGTAAAACAGAGGAAAGATAGAAATGAATCCACAGAAATTCTTATCATTCACAATGTTTAACTGAATGAAAATAACTGACTATCAGCTCAACAAACTGAATAGAAATGATTTACAAAAAACCATAATGGTGGACAAGTTTCCCTATTGGAGAAATGTGCTCAACAAAAGGAATATAAACCCCCCAATATAGCTTCAGAAATTCTTGTAATATGTCATTGATAATGATGGATTATTAAGTTTCAGATAATGCACGATTCATGAAAAATTCAAGAACTATTAATGATCATAGAAAACCCTCCTTTCAACTGAAACATAGTTACTACTTCAAATATGAATGGAAATCCTTCTCATAAAATTGAACAAAAAGGAGACAGTACAACATTAAATTAAGCTTTATTACCAACAAAAAAAAGACAGAAATAGGTCGATAATAAGCGAAAAATTAATTGGATTAGTGCTGCCTCCAATGTGCAGAACAAAACCATGTATTGACTTAAATCTCAAAAGCAAACCATTACAGCTTGCAATATCTATCACAACAAAGAAAGCAAACCTGCACTCACCATAAATCAAGACCCCGTATAATACAGAGGTCATGGTATAACAAAATTATACTAAAACAAAATACTTTTGCTTACAATTTTTTATCGTGTATGAATATCTTTTGGATATTAAATCAGTTAAGTTAATTTAATACCACCTACTCGGAGTAACGAAAAATTAGGTTGCCTTTCTCAAATCCCATGATTTGACTAATAAACCATAATGTGAGCCCCATCTAAATTTAGGGAAATAAATCTTGATTAACATCCAACATCAAGTGCTTCAGTTCTATTACCTCTTCAACTTTTGTCTTCCCCATGGCAACCTTATCCTTTGTCCCTGAAAATCCCTTCCTCAAGAACATGCTGGTAGTTGCAGCTGCAGAAATAAGCTTTTCCTGCATTGCATGTTTAGCAGACGGCTGTTGAAGAAGCTCCCACCGGCTTTTGACCGCCGACCCAACTTTCCCTGCAACATCAGAAACATTTTCTTTCGTATCCTTCGCGATGTCCCCCACAAAAGTTCCAGCAGTTTGTCCTGCTTCTTTAATCTTCAGCCCTTTTCCAGTAATAGAAAGGTATTAACTCTCCATTCTATGCATGTGAACATGCAAAACTAAAATACATAGATAACCACTACTATGAAAATATAGGATGTAATGAAAATTACCCGAGGATTGAAAGAAATCACTAGCCTTCTCTTGCCACTGAGGTGAATTGGCTGAAGGCATTTGAAGTGCCAGTAAATACCAATTTAGACTCCAAATCTACTCTACCTGTTCCCACATGAGCACATGTCCCCAACAGCAAATATAGGTAAATATCACTAATTTAGTCAACTTCATCTTAGCAATCAGAAATCCAAAGACTATATCCCTGAAACGAGTCTAGTCCTTATTTTGTATACTGTTTTAATTTCTTAACTCTAAATTTTCATTAATGTAAAACTGCTGAAACTCTTTCTTTGGTAAAAACAAGTAAAGCGTCAACATTTTAGTTACTTTTTCCTTTATGATTCCTCTTTACTGTTTATAAATATCAACACAAGGTACTCAGCAGTAAGATTGTTAGAAACCCTACTTAATCTATCGAAAATCTTCGTAAAATTCATACAATTCCATTTATAAAAACATCAGAACTATTAAGTGATAAAAAGAAAAGTAAAGATCAATTTCTTACTATCGCGAAAACAATTCGAGAAACCCAATCAGCTACTTCACTAAATCTTGTTGATTTAAGACAAATAAAACTACAAAATAATGAAGAAAGAAGCCTAAAGACTTCAAATTATAAATCCTCTCATTTCTCCTAATAAAATCCCTTAAAATACATAAATAAATTCCAAATATAGATATACCAAAAACCGTAAAAAGAAAGATTAATTAGTTTACCTTTCTACTTGAAGAAATTGAAACTTCGATAATTGAAGGAAGGGAAAATGAGAAGACAAAGATACCAAAATTCCTTCGACTCCGCTCGCGACAGAGCCTCGTTTACAGAGCCTCGTTTTTGGGTGATGGCCCAAGCCCGAGCTACGGGCCCAAAATGGCCCATATCACAGAAAGCAGATCTAGAAGCAAATATCATCAAACCGGAAAATCGAATCGAAACCGCATTATAGAAAGGGAAAATTAGGCCCAGTACTCTGAAAATTGAAAGTATTAGATTAATGCCCTAAATAAAAATTAAACTTCTTACAAACCGTATTATTTACGTCCTTACTAAAACCCCCAAACCTCAACCCTCTCCCTCATCTCTCATTACAGAATATCATCTCTCTCCCCCACATCTCTCATTTCAGAACCCCCATCTCTGTCGTCCTCGCAGCTCCTTAAACATTGAGCCCTAAAAGCCCCAAATCGCAATCGCAAAAACTCTCACCCGATTCCTACTCCGATATCAAAAACTTCGACTCTGAATTCTGTGAAGAAAGTGGGTTGAAGAGTAAAATAATTGTTGATAAACAGCCATCTTTAAAGAAGAAGAAAAAAATTTCTTCAAAACTTTATAAGGAACTATATTGTTTATTCCATTTTCAGTCATTAAGGAACCGAATTTCTGTTTTCGGCACAAATGAGACTATTATTTCTACTTTTGTTAAAGATGAAAAGGCAAGTATCTAGAGCTTAATATCCTTCTTGACATTTTCTTCTCTTCATTTGGTTATTTTAATGTGGATTTGATTGCTATTTCCAAGTGCATTGTGTGAGTGATGCCGTGAAAATGGATTTCTAAAAAAAATTGGACTTCAAACTACCCTGCAAAAATCAGAAGTTAAGAAAAGATAATTAGAAAAATACGTACTTCAGTAGAAGGGTTAATTGCAGAGGAACAGTGGAAGTAATGGAATTGCATAAGGGTTAATTATCAAATTATGAACTTCTCCTATGGTTGAACATTCAGAATTTCAAAGTTTTCTTATTTTTTGGTAGGTATTGGAGAAAGTAGGCATAAATGGTTTTGGAGCCTTAGATATTGAAGTGATGGTGGTGGAGAAGGTGGAGTGTTAGAAGTTGTATAAAATGATATAATTTAAGGTCTTGACTAATATTTTGTCACTTTTTTTAATTTTTATCAATTTTTTTAATGGTATTTGTCACTTTCTTGAATATGTTCGCTTTTGAGTTCGTTTTTCTTCTGTTTTATGTGTATAGTTTTTTGTGCTTAAGCTTTGGTCTGCTGGTAGTAATAGTGGTGGCGAGGGAGAAAGCGGGTGAACAGTGTTGTGTCGTTGGTTGAGTTGGTAGGTGGTGGTGGTTATGAATCGATTTAAAAATGCTTGACATTTTGATTGTGGTTTGTCAGTGAACTAACTTAAAGATGCTCGGGGGTGAATGAATAAAGAGAATGAATCACAATCATGCAACAAATGTCACTTTATTGAATTGATTCCAATGAATCACAATCATGCAACAAATGTCACTTGATCATGCTTTGATTATGTCACTTTTTTTGTTACTTTATTGAACTCATTCTAATGTTTTAATTGTTGTTTTGTCACTTTTTTGAATTTCTGTCACTTTTTTTAATTTGCCACTTTTTTAATCTTTGTCAATGTTTGTCACTTTTTTTAATCT